TATATATATATATATATATATGTATGTATGTATTACACCTATGTTTATTGTTTAGTTGAGTTTAAATTGTGCATAATGCTGTGTTTGCATTAATAAATTGCCAGCTGGAATCACCGATACGTTATTCAGAATTTTTTTTCCTATATCGCCCACTTCTATTTTCAACAGCATATTGTGAAAGAAAATGAAAACTGCTGGGATATTTCAATTTGCTTTAAAAAATTCTAAGTTCACTTTGCAGTATTACAGATCTCCTGCTACTAGGAAGGTCAAATTCAAGGTCAGTGCACATGTCAAAAGGTCACACAGCGATAATATCATAGAATTTGAAATTTGACAATTGCATTTCTTCTTTACTTAGTAGCATAATCATAAAAACTAGAACCAACCAACAATTTTGAACATCATTTTCAGTTTCCCAAAATGAGTAAAGTTTCACTACATTTATTTCCAAAGGTTTGTGGCTGTAGAACAGTAAAATATGAAAGGAGTAACAAAGAAACGCAAAAAAACAATCAACACAAGAACTGTGTGATGAGAATCTTTTACTCTCAATTCCACTGTGGAAGCCATTAATGTAGAAACTTTTAATGGACTTTTTAACTCGAATCTTATCTGCTGGCTTCTGTTCCCAAGGAAAAAAAAAGATGACACGGCGAAGAAATCAACTAATTAAAATGCTTTTTAATTCATCTGGAAATCAAAGTGACAAGCAACATGAAACGCCAAGGTGGGAAAGTACAGTGTGTAACTGTGGGTGTTTGTGTGTATCACAGCAGACAAACAGACTGTAAAGTGTGCCCAATTACCTCTCTGCAATTAGCTTGATTCCTGCTAAAGGCTAATTATGTGGAGCCATGCTCTAGACTTTGCACTTTCAAGTTATTATTAGGACCCCAACTGAAGTCTACTGAGGATACACACAAACCCACTGAGACAGCCACACCTGAAACACACACCTAATTTCCCTCCCCTTTGCTCCACGGAGTCAAAGAGAAACACTAGAAACAAGCTCCTACTATAGTGGCATTCTTCCCTCAGTTAACCTCATTACAAAGGCAGGTCTTCCTCCTGGCTGATTCTTAAAGCTTGTGGTAAGCTGAGCAAGCATGTTCCATTATGAAGCATTTGAGTAGTAAAAGGGCATTTGCGGTAAGGGTGAATTATGATGTGCATAATGCCAATTAACACAAACTCGGCACCTGTTTCAACCAATCTAATTTTGCTACACCAACCAAGAGATCCTTCCAGACATATGGCAAGAAAATTACATGGGAGAAGTTATCGGCATAGCAAAGGGATGGGAAGTAATTAGCATTTTAGTCCACACAGTCCAGCAGAGAGGCATAGTCTAATGGCTGACCACAGCCTAAATAAGTACACAAATGACTCTCCCAAAGGGAGTGAGGAAGCAGATGGATATGTGTCGCTCTTCTATAGATTTTCCTCCATAAATGAACTCCAGTCGATGAAGCAGAGGCACTGCCTTATGTGTCCAGGCTGTTAATGGGACAAATGAGCTGAAATATGCAGTGTGTGAAAGGAGCCTGCTCCATCTCATGTTTCTTTTTTATGCCTGTTTGGATGCTGATGGTATTGATGCTCAACCAAAGCTCATATGTAAAACTTTCAGTTTTGCTGAAGGATAAGCATAGTTTCTTAGATGAAGAAGAGATTGGATTGCAAATGGAGTTCATTGGCCAGGGGACTGCAGTTTCACAGCATAACATCCTGTAGATGGAAGACTACTGCAACTTGTACTCAGTAACAGTTGTGGCAGACTCTGCTCATATCTATAAGAGATTTTCCAGAAGAAAATGTACGGCAACCGTGCAACCCACCCAAAACATTTAAACACCTTTGGTTCACTGGTGAATTTGCATTTTAGAATTGACTGCTATGCTATTTGTTCCATTTGTTTCAGTTTTAAAGTTAAATGTTAAATTATCTTTATTTTTAGTCCCACAAGTTTTCTGTTTTCTTACTTTCCAGTTTTTACAACCTCTCTCTTTTCTTAGTGAAATAAAAATGTCAAAAATGTGATTTCAAATTAGGATGAACTCCAACTCCTTGAGTGAGTAATCTGATAAATACAGGCAAAGTATTTTCACTCTACTGAAGATATGGTAATAAACAAAAACGAGCAGCATCAAGAATTTAAATTAAATATTGAGGCAACATCATATAGTTGTGGCACAAGCTCAAACTCCAACCTCAAGGAGCTATGTTTTAGATGTGCATCAAACTACACCAACCTGCACCTGAAACAAATTACCTTCCCCATCTTTTCCCTATGTTGCACTACCTCCAGTAACGTGGAATTTATTTGAAATGAAGCCATGATTTCCTGTCATATACTACATATTGCTAAGGAGAAAATGTTCTCTAAAGCTTCAACTCCTACAGAGTTCTTTGAGTCTTTTTTTTTTCTTTTCTTTTTTTTTTTTAATCAGGATGATAAATCAAATGAAGCTAGCCGGACAATTTTCAATTCCCTCTCAACTTGCCACTTCACCTAAGGTAAAAGAGAAAAAAAAACACTCAGCAGGCATAAAAGCAAAAGAAGTTTCTTGGCAGAAACTAAACTAAAGGCAACAGACAGGTGTTATGTTTGCTAATGATGTGGTCTACAATGTAAGTCTATGTCTCACGCCGCTCTTTTGGCCCCGTTTTAAAAAACATTTTCGCGCTCACGCTGTGCTGGTACTTCAGCCACGAGCTATCCACTCCATGTCATTTGATCTCAGCTCTACATGTGCTGCGCCGAAAACAGCTTAGAGCACAAACTGCCAGTGTTCCTCCACAATTGTGTACAACGCAACGCATCATTCGCAGCCATTGTGATTTCACACGCCAGCCTCCTCTTGGTTTCTCTCTCGGCACAGAGCGGGGAACAGGGTGAGAAAGTGAAAACACCACTGGCATTTTCATCACTGGGGAAATATTCCTGTTTTTTGGGTGTGTGGGGAGATTTCCCCCATGGTTAAACTCGGACTAGGAGGCTGTTTGTTCATGGAGGGAGTTTCAGCGGATAAGCCACTGCTGTCAGCAGAAACAGTGACTGGTGGAGTTCACGTTCCTCTGTGATCTACTTTTAGCCGTGGGCAATGCAGCGGCAGCGGCAGCAGTGGATCTCGAAGAGGTTGGTACTCCTGCCATAGGCCAATCATCTGAGAAGTAAATGGGGATTTGTGTTACAACCACAACCTAGGATGTCCGCTTTACTCATGGTTAAAGAGGCTTGTTGATGCCGTTAGGTATCCTAAAATGAAATCAAACAATATCATAATGGTGTATTTTTTTTAAACATGGGAATGAGAAGGCCTGTCCATTAAAATCTTTTTAAATTTGAGGAAAAAAAAGACATACTGTTTTGTACTGTAAGTATGAATAGTGTTTGTGAGAACATACTTTGTGTTGTAATGTTGTCTCGATAAGATCGGATAAGACAGCGGTCCCTAACCCCCAGGCCTCGGTACCGGTCCGTGAGTCGTTTGGTACCGGGCCGTGAGAGTTGAGGCTCAGGTGTGAAATGTATGGTTTTCAGGGTTTTTATCAGTTTTCAGCATTATTTTGTTATTGATTTTAACGTTAACTTGGTTTTCCTGGGTCTTTTCACATGTGTTATGAATAAATCTTCTTTTTTTTCGGTACCGGTACTGGTTTTATTTTGTTGTATTTATCCGCGACACCTTAAAGGCTGGTCGGTGAAAATATTGTCGGGCATAAACCGGTCCGTGGGTCAAAAAAGGTTGGGGACCGCTGGGATAAGATGACCCACTAAAGCCTGCAACATAATTACCAGCGTAAGTGTAAAGATGGCTTTTTTTTAGCATAGTAACTGACTTTCCAAATAATTAATGAGGGAAAACCTTAGTTGTCTAATTTAGGAAAATGCATATAACATTCTGTTTGTGTGTCTGTTTGTGTGAACAAATGTGTCCCTCCTCCAACTAAGCCCTGGTCCGGGAGGCAAAAGACTCTCATTACTTCTAATACCTTTTAGCAAATCAAGATGAAACGAAAAGAAATAGAGGAATATGAGGGTAAACTTTATTAAACTTAATTAGAGTCAACGTCGCTTATTGGGGAGGTTCACGTCCATAATGGTCACTCTCTACAGAGGAGCACTGCAAATGATCTCAAAGGCTTTTTCCCCAGTAATCGCTAGCTAATTTATGCTTTGATGTCGTCTGAGTATAGCATCTTAAGTCTGAGGGTGCACTGCATGTGTTTATTCTGTTTATGGAGCCTAAATAATCCTGCCTCTTTTTACCAACAGACCTTTAACAACAATTAACAAGCACGGACATGGAGCGCCGCAGACAGATGCATAATGAGGCAGATAAAATGATCCCAATGCGAATTTTCTAGCATACCATGCCCACAGTTGCTTTCCAGCTACGTACCAACACCAGTAGGAAATAGTCCTTGGTGTCAGTTAGTTTATTTGTCTTATTATTTTTTGTCTTATTATGTAGCACGGTGGCACGGTGGTTAGCACTGTTGCCGCACAGCAAGAAGGTCCTGAGTTCAATTCCAACATCAGGCCGGGGTCTTTCTGTGTGGAGTTTGCATGTTCTCCCCGTGTTTGCATGGGTTCTCTCCGGGTACTCCGGCTTCCTCCCACCGTCCAAAGACATGCAGCTTGGGGGGATAGGTTAATTGATTAATCCAAATTGTCACTAGGTGTGAATGTGCGAGTGAATGCGAGTGTGAATGGTTGTCTGTCCCTAT